CGTTTTCCCATTAAGATGGTGTTGCAGCGAACGAAAAAGATGGTAATCTGATGGTGCAACACAAGACTATGGAGTTGAGTTGGGAAGTTCTCCCCCACCCAACTCCATAGTCTTGTGTTGCGTCAAACGTACTACGTGTGGACGTGCATTGTCGTGGAGAAAAAGAACACCTTTCCGATTGATGAGTGAAGGGCGTTTCTGATGAAGGGCTTGATTTAAACGTTCCAGGTACTGACTATAGATCTCTGCATTGACAGTTCGCTGTAGATTGAAGAGCTCCAGATGAATTACATCACTTTCTGCGGATGGATTCCAGGTTTTGGGGTCGGAAGTGGTTTTTGTCTAGAACTGAGCCATTGTTTTTGGCGTTTAATAGAGAACCCATTTTTCATCATCGGTGACAATTCTGTCCAAAAATGGTTTACGCGCATTAAGCGCCAGAAGAAACGAAGTAAAGTTCACACGTTGGAAACGATGATCATCGGATAGTTCGTGAGGCATCCAAACACCTTGTTTATGGAGTTTTCCCATATTCCTTAGATGTTTACGTATTGTTTCATGAGAAACATGCAATTTCAGGGCCATTTCACGAGTGTGTTGCCTTGGGTTAGACTCAACAATCGTCTTCAGAGCATCAATACGAATTCCAACATGTCGGCCCCTACAATCACAGTTTTTAAGGCTAAAGTCACCTGAATGAAATTTGCTGAACCACAGTTGACACTTACGAACGTTCAAAACATTTCCATAAACTTCTTTGATATTATTTGTGACTACAGAGGCGTTGTTTCCTTTCTTGTATTCAAACAGCATTACATTCCGAATGTGTGTCTCGTCGTGTGTCATCACTATAAAGGATTAGAGTACACTAAACTTTACACATTATAAAGGCTACACTAACGTGACGTTTAGGCGGTTCGTTTAACTATTATACGCGATGTACGTTTTTTTTTGGTGGGGGGTTAATGAAAGTGTTCAAAAACGTAATGTTAATTTCTTGATGACCAAATATGTACATATATCCATAAGTAATTAAATGGAAAATAAATTCCTCCTCTTCTGTTCCACCTTTACTGTTAATAGTTTAAACCAATAAGTCAATAGATTCTTATTATTCCATTTATGTAAATAACCAGACATTCACACACAACAAAAATTCAATCAAAGCGACTAGTTTAATTAAAAATAGAACTAACGTTTAAAATGCACAATAAACAACTTTTATTTGGCAGACGACCAATATTAAAAGACTCTACATGCTTTACGCTACTATCATCAGAAGTAAAAGCTTACATGACAAGCGGGTAGTTTTACAGAGAATAAGTTTAACTCATTGTAATCTTTAAGGGTGGTGAGAATATTATACATAAGAAACCAACATTTATTTTCCAAACTTTCCATTATCACTACCTAACCCACGTTTAGGAAAGAATTATTTAACTTACAACACAAACTTTCTATTTATTATCTAATATTCAATTCACTTTGTGTGGCCCTCTGTGGCACAGCGGCATGTCTGCGGACTTACAACGCTAGAAACTGCGTTTCTATACCCGTGGTGGGCAGAGCACAGATAGTTCTTTGTGTAGCTTTGTGCTTAATAACAAACAAACACTTTGTTTGTTAGGTTCATTTAAAATTATTGTTTCATGCCACTGTATCGAATGTTCTGTTTCGACAACGTGTTCAGCAACTGGAAAATTAGCATATTTTTATTATGTACATAATCTTTATGCTCATTAAGACGATATTTCAAATTACCTTTAGTTTGAGCAATATATTTTTCACTGCATTTACACCTAATTTCATATATATTTTTTTACCTAAACTGTCGTTTTCATCTTTAGTACTAGGAAGTATGGTTTTAATTTTGTTAGTTGGTTTTAACATATAACTAAAATTATGTTTGGGTAGTTATATGTTATATACATAGATATATATATAGTAATATTACTGTAGTATTCATTCTATTATCATATACACTGTCTAATCTAGTACATCGCTTAATATGATTTGAATTGTATTTTTTTTTTGTATTATACGTTCAACTATATCAACATTACAACCTCTATTGTTAGCAATACTTTTTTATATAATTCAATTCATTTTTCAAATTAGTAGAATCAGAACAAATATTTAATGTTCTGTCTACAAAAGTATGAAAAGCTGTTAGTTTTTAAGAAAATGGGTGACATGATCTTTGTGGCGTCATAGAGATTAAATATGGTTTCCGATAAACAGTTGTGAAACTAGTTCCATTATTATTATTATTTTTAACAAGCATGTCTAAAAAAAGATAAACAGTTATCTTGTTAAATCTCATACGTAAACAGAATAGACTTAGAAGGATCAACATTGTTTAGATAATCAGCAAATATTTTTAGCTCAATATCTTCATGCCGCCAAACCAAGAACGTGTCAACAACAAATCTAATCGAACAATCAGGTTTTAAAAAAGCATTAACAAGGGCAATACGTTCGAAACTATCCATATAGGAGTGGAGAAAGAGGGGAATCCATGGTTAATCCAACATTCTGCTCATAATACTTTTCATTAGCTTTGAAAAAAATAATTTGCAACACACACTCTAGTTAGGTTAATGATGTAAGGAATTTTTATTGGAGAAATGGAAGCTTGAACTGATCTGTCATGAAAACAATTAATAGCATCTTCCACCGGAATTTTAGTACACAATGAAACTATATAAAATGGCACCAATTTATCAGAAGAATTAAGTTTAATGCTCTTAATTTGCTTAACAAAGAATTTTTAATAGCATATTTGTTCTTACTACTCAAATACGAAAATCGTTGAGCAATGTGCTTTCCAACATACTGAGACGAGGTATCTACACTAGATACAATAGGTCTAAAACTATTGTTTAACTTAATGAATCTTAGGTAAAGCCTACAGACGGGGTGTGCAAAAATTGGAAGGATTGAAGGTGTTTTTTTTGTGCAGTTGACAAAGTTTACATTAACAACCTTTTTTTTTATTATCAAGTTATGAAATGTTGTTGCTGAGTCTCTTATAAGAGAAAAATATGAACCATCATTTAACAACTGACTACACTAGAAATGTGATCACATTTGTTCATCACCAATACACACCATCCTTTATCAGCTTGTGTAACAACAATATTATTGTTATTCTTTAAACACTGTAAAACTATATTTATTGTCTTCTTTCGTCAAATTACTTTTAATTATAGTATTTCGTCCCCACATTATATTTTGGCATCAATATCTAATAATGGTTTAAATTTTACTATATTTGATTCATTCAACGTTAGATTCAATATTAGTTAGCAAATCGTTTGTGGGTAAAATTTGTGGAGTTACTACAAAATTTCAACCTAAACGCAATACATTAATTTGCATGTTAGTAAGATTGGCATTGGCTTATTAATAATGTTTAGGCTACATAGTGGTAGTACTTTAGAAGTTTGCTGTTGCTTAGGTTTACCCAAAGCTTTAAACTTAATATCTAATTATTTGCTTATTTTCTTTTTCAATTCTGTTCCAACTATCATTCTCATACTAACCATTGCTGAAAACTTTATAAACCACAACCTATTATTAATCGCATTGTTGTTGTTGTCCATACACATAAAAGCTTTAGTAGTTTTTATAAAAGTTTTCTATATTTCTGTCGACCTCTCCTTCATAAGTAATATTTTCTTTTAAAGGGAAGTTTGCCAGTTTTAATATATAATTATCTTAAGAACTATGTTTACTAATAATTAGTAATTACCACGAGTGCAGCTTACAACTGGAAGAAATAATAAATACATATTTTCCATAAAAAGTATTGCTACAAAACGACAAGAGTGCAAAAAAAGAGGGATTAAGTTGGAATTTTAAGATAATCTGAGGCTTAGTTCAAGGGACAAGAATGAACAATTGGAAGTTAATTTTATTACCTTTTCAAATGTATTACCTTAGAGTGATGTTATAATGGTGAGCCAAAACTTTCTACGTCTCAAATTTAGTTAGTTTTTATTCTATGTGAAACAAGCTTCTAATAATTTTTACAAAATTACGTATTATATTAATCTAACAAAACAAAGTTTTTGAACATGAAAGGATAAAATTCGCGTTTCGAAGTTAAGACACATACACAGGTAAATTTTATATTTTATGATTTTTGAATTGTCCTTTTTACCTGGATGTAATTTGGTTTTATATAGGTATTTAAGTAACATTAATGCCGCTAGTTTATTCTCCTATACTGTTTAGCTGATTGGCGATTTGAAAATATGTTTTGTGTGTGTGTGTGTGAAACTTGTAAGAAAATGAAAGACCCAGAACATTTTTCGATTTACCTCTCATTGGTAACCCTTGACAAAAGTAAAAATAGCCAAATTAATGAGTGTAGTAAATCCAAGAATAAGTTGGTTCTCTAAAATCCTTATCGACGAAACGCATTATTTTGGTGAATTAGAATTTTCAACCTGAACTTATGTACAGGTGGCCCAAAAGGCCAGACCAGAAACCACTATTTTTGAACCAATGTTTAGTGAGAAGGGGAAGGGAGGGGGCAACTAGACAGCAGCAGTACTTAATGCTACATAAGGATTGACAGTCACTTCAATAATGCACCCACAGATAAAGTGGATTTGTATTCAGCGTTCGTCACCTGTTGAACCTTAGAGCCTTTGAGTGTCATCTGCGCATCTTAGCTAACAGATTATGAGACAAAATTAACTGTACTTTATGTTGTATTACATTAAAGCGACTAACTATATTTATCACTCAAAGTTTCAGTGATAAACAGCCAAAGTATTTCTTTTAATTCACGAGACTGTCACAATAATAATCAATAAATTATGTATTTATTACTTATAGCTTTAAGACGACGTTGACACGCAGAATCAAGAAATGTCGCTCCTCAAAGTCTCGGTGAACTCTGACTAATCTTATTTCGTTCAAAACAGACGACCTGCCTCTTAAAAAAATTCAGGGAAAGATTTTGATTTAATATTTCAATACTGTTTCAGCTTGTAATTGTAATGGAAAATCATCGACGTGTTACTTTGACCCGGACTTGTATAAAGAGACAGGACACGGCGGTCACTGTACCAATTGCCAAGACAACACTGAAGGACCTCACTGTGAACGATGCAAGGAAAATTTTTTCATGAAAGGTGGTCGGTGTACCCCGTGTCTATGTGACTTAAGGGGTAGGTACATTTTCACATCATTCGTAAAATGTTTTCTTCTACTTTTCTAAACATAATAATTACTAAAAAAAAAAAAGGAAACCTAATATTTTTTACGTAACGCTCCAAAGGTTTGTTTGTTTGTTTTGAATTTCGCGCCAAGCTACACGAGGGCTATCTACGCTGGCCGTTCCTAATTTAGCAGTGTAAGACTAGAGGGAAGGCAGCTAGTCATCACCACCCACCGCCAACTGTTGGGCTACTCTTTTTACCAACGAATAGTGGGATTGACCGTCACATATAACGCCCCTACCATGTTTGGTGTGACGGTGATTCGAACCCCCGACCCTCAGATTGCGAGTCGAGCGCCTTAACCACCTGGCCGCTCCAAAGAACAAGAGAACATGTATTTGTACGTTAAAGGTGTATTGATTTACGATAGTTTATTTTGAAATGTAAAGGAAAAGATTACAGTTAAATAGAGCAATGTAGGATTTTGGGTTTTATTTGGTTAAATATTTCGTCATACACTATGTAGCTCATCTCGTTGTCATGGTTAGCAGCTTATACTTCACCTATTCTAGCTCTAATTATTAATCACGTAAACTTATTTTAATTTGTCACTAATTACCACTTTTCGTTTGTTAACATTCACAACTATTGGTACCTGATAAACACAACCTCAATGTAAAATTATACTTCTAATAAACTAAAGATTTATATTATTAGATTGATAATATCGTGACGAGTTGTGTAATAATCTAATTCATAATTTAAATTAACTAAATTATGTTTGTAGCAATATGCAAGGTAATAAAACGAGTTTTGGATTCTCCTTTTAAATATCTTCAGTTGTGTATCTTCTTATAATCTTAATCTACAGAAAAATAGAAAAAAAAAAACCTTTGTATACTTCTTAGACCAAACACCTTAAACTATTTATATATTTATCCTATTATGCAGTGTAATTCATGTATACCGGAACACTGGTTCCTGAACGATATCCGTAAACATGAAGTAGAATAAAGTATTTTTAGTTTTACATGAAGAATCTAATTTATTTGTATTCATTTTTATACATTTTACTCAAATAAAACAAGTTTTCATTCTGAAAAAAAAGTGACTTTTAAATACTTGAAAATTAAGCTTTGCTGATAACAATTAACCATCCTGAAGAAGAAAGCGTGTAATCTTTAAAAGGTAAATAACTATTGCAGGTTGCGTTTCTTTCGAGAAGAAATGCTACAATACATTTTCCGTTATTTACTATATTAACTTTCATCAGACATTGGTTGTAAATGTACATTGACAGGCAGGTTGCCTACTTATGTAGAAAAACAATCCTACCGAAATAAAGATGAATAAAATCGGGGCTAGCCTGATGTTTGGATCTAGAACTAACATAAATTATCTGTTGAAGCTCGTGACATATTATAGTGGTTACGGCAATAGATAATTTATTAACGGTGAAGGCATTTAACTGTCGAATCAACGCACTATAATCGTCATAAATATTTGTTTTATGATTATACATACTCATAGTAACAGAAGGGCTTAGCGTACCCAGTGATTAGCGTTCATGGTGAATCTGTTCCCCGAAACTTGAGATTGTAGGTGCACTGTAAAAATAGTCCCATATTTGTCGGGTGGTGGTGCTGTTGGTGAGCTACTTTCTCTCTAGTCAACATTAGGGACGATTAATTGTGTTGGTTTAGCAGAAAATCCGAAACAGACATTAGTAACACGATAATTTAGATTAGCCATAATCATAACTAAACCAGATTTGGGTTTTGATCTATGTAGGTAGATCAACATTTATTAATAATGTTAAATCCCTCAAAATATATATCAGCAACGAAAAAAAGATATATAAAAGAATTAAGTTATGTTGCCTGAGTATCAGTATAACAATATCTCACATATATGAAAAAATATATACGAATATTTTAAATGAATTATAGTTAAATAAACATGGCTTCTCTGTGCACTTACTTTTACCTTTTATATTAGGTGCAGTGCAGACTCGTTGTAAAGGAAATGGGCAATGTATATGCAAACCAGGAGTTAAGGGCTTGCGTTGTGACACATGTGAGGATGACCTGTATGAGCTCGCTTCAGATGGATGCAGGTTTATTCTTTCATTTGATATTTTACAATTTGAAAAAAAAACAAAAAAAAACAAAACTGAATGCTATTAACCATGATACACTAATATATTCACTCATAACGTTTTATATAAAACCTTTTAGAAAGTTATAAGCACAGAGACTGATGAAATAATTTCTAAGTAGACTAGACAGTCTCCACTAACATTAGTGGACAATATTGAGAGTTAAATGGTGTCTTAGCTATGAATTAAAACATAGATATAACTATTTTTTATACACTAGTTCTCTCTTCCGAAACGTTATCCATTTTCCTAATAACAACAGTTTTGACTGTCTCCTAAGATTTTACACTGCCGTTGCTGTCTTTGTTTATTATCTATGATATTATTTTTCACTGTAAAACATTTTTACAAGAACTGTCTAAGGATATTTTACCTGCTATATTGTTTCATTGTCTGTAAAAAAATAGAGTAGTTTCGAACCAGCTAAACAAAATAAGGCCTTCGGTACAATTTTAATTCATTTGTTTATTTTTGACACACGAATATTTTAAAATATAGGAAGATATATATATAGTGTTAAGCTGATAACACTTCTCGTGCATGAAGGTAAATAAGACAGAATAGCTTAAGTATTTTTTGAATTTCTTACATTTCTCTAAATATTTTATATTCTGTGTAGAAGCAGTTCTGGAGCTCTTCAAAAGGATAAAGAGTTCATCCATCTTCCATGTTTCTGTTATGGACACTCGTCCGTTTGCGAACGTGCTTCTGGTTATGTTAAATACGTTATTGCTAGCACGTTCAACACAGGTGGGAACAATAGATAGATTATAAATTAATTTACATAAAGTTTGTATTACTTGTATTATATAAACTTGATTACAAGCCGAACATAACTTTTTTTTTATATACTAAAGATATAAACGCAGGCCCCTGCAAAGCTGGTAATAGACCCAGGCCAGATGGGAAATGTAGGCCCCATTTCAGACTGCTCATTAAGTATTTTTGTAATCAGTGCTAAATACATTACAAGTAACAGAAACGAATAAAAGAACTAGAACGATTTATAAAAAAGGTAATGGCAAGCAATTTTATTCAAAATGTATATACGACAATAGAGTACAGTACTGTAATAAGAAGGAGTAAATACAATAGTACATTCATGTTTATTCTGTATTCGGAAGTAGGCCCCCAAAACATCGTAGGACCATGCCAACTGGTCCCCTCTCTGTTCTGGCCTGTGTAAACGTAGTTAAATGCTTGCAATGCTTGATCAAGATTTCAATTGAAATTATTGCCTATGGATTCAGTTAGCTGTAGGTTTTCTTATAATAGATTTCACTATCGAGAGTATTGAATTTCTCCGTTTAACAGCCTGGACAGAAATATAAATACCTTGTGTATATGGTCATCAATAAAGAAATAAAAATTAGGAAAATTGGTTCATATCTCTTGTGTCTGGGTGGTTATAGTCGCAGTGTCAAATATCATTTATTGGTTCATATCTCTTGTGTCTGGGTGGTTATAGTTGCAGTGTCAAATATCATTTATTGGTTCATATCTCTTGTGTCTGGGTGGTTATAGTTGCAGTGTCAAATATCATTTAT